CCTCATGTACCCACGTTTTGTGCTTGGACCATATACCTCCCCCCCGCCCCCCGCCCCGGGTTATCCACTGCTACCCCCTCCCCCCCCGCCCCCCCTCCCCAGGTTCTCCACCCGCCGCGGCGCGGCATCCGGATCTAGGAACTCCTTGCGAATCGAAGCTTGTTTAGTAGGGATACATACAGAGAACAGAATACCGTATAAAAAACCTCCTATACATACCCTATAGAATACCTTCTACAACACCTTGTGCAATAACCGACGGAATACCTTTTAGACGACCTTATAGAATACTCTATACGGGTCCCCCGATATAACACACATATGCATTAGAGAATACCATCTGGAATGCCCTGTTATAGACGACCGCCTGTCTATGATAACCCCTGTATACCGTACATATGCCATATAGAATACCTAGAATACCTATGCAATACCTTATTCGATTCCCTCTGCAATCCCCCTGTAGAATACCCTGTAGAGTTCCCTGTAGCTCGGGATTCTAAATAGAATGCCCGATGCATGCAGAAGACCGTCTGTGTAATATACCCTCTGTGTACCTTAAATATACCTTACAGAGGACCGCCGATGTAATGTACCCTCTGTGTACTTGAAAATGAAATAAACCTTATAGAATAATCCTCTACAATACCTTTTCGGATACCCTTTAAAAATGCCTCATAGGATACCCTAAAGCATACCCTATAGAAAACGATTAAAAAAAGGACAATCAGGAGGAGCCCAAGATCGGTGAATTCACCAATTAAATGTTAGCTTATTGAATAAGGGATTTCTAAGAAAGAAACCTGCAATCTAGGAGCATTGCCTATAGAATACCCTTTCTACAAACCTTAAACAAATTCATACAAAATACGGTGATACCTTACAGAATACCCTGTAGACATATATACACCACCTTCCATATATACGCCCTGAAGAGTACCTTACACAATACAGTATGGGACACCGAATAAAATACCCAATAGAACGTGCTGTAGAATACTTTATCTGATGCCCCCTGCTGTAGAATATTTTATAGTTTATCTGATGCCCCCTATAAAAATAATATATGCTATGTATGCTAAAAAGAATACCACCTGGAATACTTTATAGAGTACCTTGTAGAATACCCCATGAATGTGATACACTATATATAGCTTATATATACCCTGTATGAAATTTGGTGCTGTCGAACCGCCTTTCGCCGATCTCATTTTCGGAAAACGCAGCGGTTCGATAGCACCAAGTTTTATGAGACGACACCCTTTGGGAAAGTTGATGCTATCGAACCGCCCCTGCTTGTTTCCATATTTGCAATGGATACCACAGCGGTTCGATAGCACCATTTTTTTGATCGGAAAATCTGGTGTCTTAAAGTCTGGAAGACACAGCAGTCCACAAGACTCTCGCCCCGGACCCCACTACAGGGTGTTCAAACGGATTCAGGGCGTATTCAATTGAATACGCCCTGAATCCATTTGAATACCCTGTAGTTGGGTCCGGGGCGAGAGTCTTGTACTCAACAACATGCAAGAACATGGGGGGGGGGGGTACCCCATATATATATATTATAGTATTAGTATATCTCTACATTCATCTCTTCAGCACTACATGGCAGCATGTCACACCATGCCGCAAAAGGCAGCGTTGGTTTCGGCGGAATCCGTGCCCAGGCCAATGCAGCGGCCTGGGCATCTACTACTTCGCCGACGGCTCCCAGTACCGAGGGGCCTGGAGTCATGGGAAGTACGTGCCTTGGCATTCTAGTGTCAAGAAGCCGTCGGCCCCAATTTTCTTGGTGCCCTGGGGGTGATCGGGCTGGGTTGCTTTTCATTGCAGTGGCGCGGACGAGCAAAACAACTTCTCTGCCCTAGCTACCCTGTAGCTGTTGGTATCGCCATATGTTGTGGGGCTGTTCTGACTGTGGACAGTAGTGTTCCTTGGAGGTGCTTGGTTTCGTCAGTGTTTTGATGTAGGCCCAAGCAGAGTAAAACTACATGTGACTTTGCCTGGCATACTGCGAGGATGGCGAGGGACTTCTCTATCTCGCGAATGGAGATCGGGAGCGGATGACTTACCTGAATGGAGACTCGCCCGGTTTCCGGTTTTTACATGTCTTTTTGGGTGAAGTTCGTGAAGTTTACACTCAAAGTTGCAAACTCGACGCAGCAGAGTGTCTCGCCATGTCTGAGGGCGGCTGATGAAACGCGAAGTTCTGACACCGTCTCCACCACCACAGGTTGGTAACAAAACGAAGCCGTTACTTGGCGATGATCGAGGCTTCGTGTTGTTGCTTTTTCGGCGGTGATGTTTACGAAACTCTTGAGAAGGCCAAAGCCCTAAATCCGTGCCTGCCCAGTGCGAGTGTGCGACTCGAAACCGCATGTGAACAACCTCCGCGTCCTGTAAGAGGTTCAGGCTCATCCACGATCTGAGTCTTCACCCGACGTCCTGAGCCGAAGCAGAGCCTTCAGTTTGAGGTTTAGGCTCCTCCTTAGGCGTGCGAACCAACCCGGAACCCGAAGCCGCAGCCCACGACCCAAAGCTGCTGCGCTGCGAAAGCTAAGCTCCGGCCGAGCTACGAGCCCCAAACCCCAAAAAAGGCTGCCTTGGCTGCCTCTCTGCTTGTTTGCCCCGTTGCATTCAGCTGATCTTCCGATGCCCTTGACGTCAAAGTAATCGCATCCCCGTGAAATGCTGTGAGCTCTAGGCGTTGGGTCACTTATGAGGCTCAAGCTTGAGACAATGGAGTTCATTTCCTTCCTGCTGCACATGAATGCAGGTACTGCTAGCTTGCAAGAGTTGAGCCGCCCCGAAGCAGCATAGAACTCAGCAGCCGATTCAGAGTTGCTATCTTGCTGTAGAGTCTTGATTACGATCTGGAGACCGAAATCTGTGCTCAGAAACAGAGAGCCACGCAAAAGACACTGGATATAAGATTAACGACGGGGTTTGTCGAGCATATCGATACTGCATGCCAGTTGCAGTTTCTAAGTGGCTTGTGAGTACTATTAGCGAAGATCAATGAAGATTCAGAACGTCAAGCTTGGCAAGAGCAACAATGGACTGCTACTTACTACTGTTTCCACGCCTTCTGCCAGTACCACCTCCTCGTCGTCGTCGTCCTCCTCCTTCTCTTCCTCCTCCTCCTGCTGCTGCTGCTGCTGCTGCTGCTGCTGCTACGACGATGTCGACGATGACGCCGGCTGCTACTAATACTCTTCGTGCTGCTGCTGCTGCTGCAAACCGTGCGACGAGTACTAGCTACCGGAGAACAGCAAACACCTAATCATGGTGCATCTCAGGGGCATCTTCTGCGGCATCCATCTTTCCCAAGATCGGGTAGACATGATGATGCCCACCGTGCGCCCGCAGAACCACGGATACTTGGGGTTGATCTGTGATATAGACCCCTTAAAGGTTCCAAAACTAGAGCCACTAAATGGGTTAAGATAGGCCTTTTCTTGGAAATTCTATTCTTTAGATGCTTCTGGGGTTGCTTTGTCAGGGTTGCGGGCTACAGACTCGTGGCCGCAGCTGAGGAGATGTACAGTTGTTGATCAAGAGGGACTGCGACATGTACGACTTGTCGGCCCCTCCTATTCGCCTTCCAGGGCAGAGGTCTGCTAGCGAGAAGATGTTCCTTGGCGTGCAAGTCTGTTATGGGATGGTCTCCCAGGCCTGGGACTGGGCTCAACCCAAGGCAGGCAGGCAGGCAAGCAACTGCAACTGCAACTGCTCAACTGCAAGCGACAAACTGCAAAACAGCAACTGCACATCTTCAAACTACAACTGCTAACAAGCCAACACTGGGCTGTTGAAGGAGGTGGTAGGTGGGTTGAGTCTGCCTGCAGCAGAATGAGAGCATCAAGACTGCCTGGTTTGATGATGGTGTGTGGCGAGGTTCTATGTCAGGCTTCGAAGATTTTGAAGAATCCACTTCTGCAGTGTGACGAACTGAGCACACCAAGGGCTGATGACCTGCTGGGCACTTCCATCGATACAGTGACTGGTGGCGACACCGTGGGCGACTACAGCAGTGTCACTTGGTTTTCAGTGGACCTGCATGCCTCCTGTGCAGACTTGAGTCAGGCATCTGCCACTGCGGCTATGACATGTTAAGTCTTGTTTGCCGCTCTCGATTTGATGTTGGCTTGATGGTATTCTGTCCGTCCAAGGTGCTCACATCTGGCCCATCCACGGATGAACCTACCTTCCTCACGGGATCCTGATCTCTAAGAGGCAGCGAGATCACATGCTCCGGCATCGCTGAAACGGATGCGTGCTGTGCTGGCTTTCTGTCAGGGCTGCTTCAGCCTTTGATCACCTCGGTGGACAACTGATGGTTTGTTTCAGCGGACAGTTCCGTTTTGCCGCGTCTCACTAGTCTAGAAATAGTATTGGACCATGGCAGCAGAAGGCACAGTCGTTCACCTAGAAGCCGGTAAGCACAGGTTGCCCAAAATCCTGGTATTGCAGTGTTTGCAACCAACCAGTGCGCTGTTGCCTGCGCAACAATTGCGCTTGACGACGAATGTCACGGCACTTCGTTGAATCAGAACCGCCAAAGAACACAGCCATGGGCTCCTGAGGAGCCGCATGAACGTGACCCGCGGCGTCTGGAAATCGGTCGCGCCTGGAAAGCTGGCGCGGCCACAAACGCCAAAGCCGTTCGCAGAAACAGGGCCACTTCGTGCAAGGAGTTTCATCGCCTAGCAGCCCTCCCGGCCGCGTGCCAGGGCCTGCTGCGCGCACGGTCCCGGGGTCAGGCCTGAGCTTGTTCGTAGCAAGCTGCACTGGCATGGCACGGCAGCAGGACTCCAGCTATGGCTAGTGTGCGCTTTCTCTTGTATGTCAGGCTGCTGCAGAGACCGACTGCCGTGAGCGGCGCTGCAAGCTGCTCTTCAGGTTCCGACCAAATGGGTGCTTTGGACTTCGTTGTCCGTCTTTTCTCGTTGACAAATCCGCTGGCTTGAAAGTAATTCGTCGCGATTCAGGCCTTTCGAAAATCCCCATGTTGGAGCAAGCATGATGTGTCAGGTTTCCTCTCAAGGTCATATTTGCAGAGTTGAGCATCGGACGCCCCAGAGGCTTCATGCACCTTCAGATCCTTTCAGTCTAGTAGACTACTCTAGGGTGTAGTGTGGCATAGTGTAGTGTGGTTTGGTCTAGTACAGCGGAGCCTTTTCCCCCCGAAGGTCGCAGAGGGAAGCGGCATGGGCCAAGGCCGGATGTCTTGATCTCTGCAGACGGCTCTGCTTGCAGGGAGCGGGAGAGCCCAATACCAGGTATGTAATATGTATGTCTGTATGTATGTTGTATGTATGTATGTATGTATGTGTATTTATATATATATATACATACACATTTCTCTGCATGCGTATGTAAACCTTTAACTTTAATCATGACATCAGGCGCCTTCTACTTTAAGGTGGCTTGCTTGATTAAGGGTAGACGGATATTCTGGGGACTTTCGCAAGGATCAGCGATTTGTGGGGTGGCTTCTCGACAACTTGGGAGTCAACAGTTACGTGTGCAGATGGTGTGCCACGTTCTACATGCCCCCATGCATGGGCTTCGAGCATCGCCGGAAGCTATTTTGGGCCAGGGGGCCGAGGAATCATAACATCATTTATTCTATCTCAAACTGTACCCCAAATCCCTCTCCCAATTCTGTGATTAAGGCCCTTGTCTCACACACATGAGCCAGGTGCGACAGAAGATGCGGAAGGAGACATCGTGTGCTGGCGCGAACCCCTTTTTTTTTTTTACTTCCCTGCTTACATGGGCCCGGCCGACCTACAGCAATATATATAGCCATACTGTAGCATGGCATGGCATGGTCAATAGTCCGGTCCAGTCTAGTCTAATCTAGTCTGGACTGTCTAGCGTAGTATGACGCTACAACTGTTCCTGAAGGCCGTGAATGCCTTTGAGGGGTTTGCCGGCAAGCATTCTCAGGTATAGCTCGTTGGTGCGGCGCTAAGCTGCCCACGTTATTTTCGAACTCCGTGCCTGTCCTTGGCGCTTTAGAAGTCTTGCAAGGGTGAAGGCTTTTGGTAGGCCTCGCTGTGAGCTTCGTTCTCTGCAATGCGAGAGGGAAAAAGATAGTGTTTGCGCCGAGGTGGCTTCTTTCCTAAAGGCGGGCTTCAGAGAAGACAAGGCCGGCTGCCCAGCTCTGGTATGCTCTGCTTTGAGAGCTGTCGGACTCGGCAGAGGTGCGAGTGGCGTCTTCCCCCAAGAAGGGGGCCCGGGCCCTGGCGTTTCAAAGATAGTATAATACTCTTATAGTTATTGGTATTACTACTAATGGTATAGTAATGATTAGGATGCAGGTCGTCTCCAGCTTGCGTTGACTCCATGCGATGGGGCAGCTTACCGGTGATGTAGGGTAGCTGTGTGGAATGCTAGCGAAATGCCCAGCCATAACTTCGCCGGTCTTGTGAAACCTTGATATATATCCTTCAACCTTCAGGGACTCCTCTGATGCGAGAGCTGAACACCCGGTCCTGGGCCTGGAAGTCACAGATAGGTCAGGCATCCCCACAAAAAAGTGCAGTACCCGTATGACATGCTGACCTGCGGGACCTAGCACCATGGGTGCACAGCCAGGAAATCCTAGCAGCAACACACCGTTCCGCCCAACATAGACCGGAAGTTCTTGGCGAACTCATTGCATGATATAATGTAACATAACATAATATAATAGTATATTATAGTATATCATATTTTATAGTCTTATATTAGATTATATATATATAGATACATATAGATACATATATAGATACATACATACATACATACATACATACATACATACATATATATATATATATATACAAGCCCCAAAGCCGAGGACCTGCCGCAAGCTCCAGAGCTCCAGCCTGCAACCATCCTCAGCGGTGCCCCGCCTTGATTCCATTGGGGACTCAATCCCGATCTTGGGAATCTGCTTGTATATGTGTTCATGATGATGCCATGTTTACTAGAGCAAGCGCTCGAGTGACGAGCCTAGTGCTTGCAATGTAACAGCACTCACCACAACAGCACTGACAACAGTTGAGAGCTTCGAAACAAAGCGCCTCCATGTATCACTCACCTTAAGATTGTTATTGCAGTTGTGTCTCCGGTGTAGCCGTTGTCGTCTCTTCTAAGGGGCGTTTGGAGCCGAGGTTCGGTTCGACTTCTCGGGAAGTAGCGCCAAGCGAAAGGATCTTCCCAGTTGTGCGCCGGCCTAGTCCAAGTGACCGTGCTCTAAAGCTTTGCCTACGTGGAGACTGATAGCTAAAGACCCGAGTTCCCGGTGAGTGTGGGGGAGGGGGGGGGGGGTGCAGGTGTCCGTTTTGCTGATTGTGCCAGGTCTTGGTTACTGGTTCCTAACCCTAATTTTGGCCCCCGTGCCCGAAAGCAGAACTAAACCCAAGTTTAAACCTTGTGCATCCCTGTGCCAAGCCTTCGCTCGCTTGGCCTTCGAAATTTTGCCTCTGAGGTGGGCTTTGACCCCGAACCCGGAAGGCGAGCTATCCCCACACGGGAGCTTCAGAAACTGAGGGATCCTGATATGCACACTATCTGCAAACTCAAGTAGTAGGATCCTCAATACATCGACCCCGAATTGAGAAAGCCCCCGTATACACGGGTGACCATGGTCGAGGCGCGTCCGAAGACGAGGCCAAGCAGAAGAGGCCGGCACCTTCATCTGGGTGTCCGATCATCTGCATGGCACTCTATGTAGCCTGGTTTTGAGTGCAGCTAAGAAGGGCTTGGTTCAAGACTTGTGCCACTGGTACTCCCTAGAATCTGTAAGAACTTGGGCTGTGACATGGCCCGTTTCTGACTGCATAAAATTATAAGTGTAGAAGGGCTTGGTAAATTTCACAGTCGGGGGGTAACGTTGAAGGAGACGTGAAGAGGACTTCTTGACGGCCCCTTTATCGATGGTTTAGAGCTGAGAGGCTTGAGTGCACTGAGACCGCTGAGTTCCAGAAGGAATCAAGAAATGCGACAGAGAAAACACAAGCTGCGAGAGGTACACTCCTGAGAGCAGGCAACAAAATGTTCCGTGTCCTGCTTGCTTTGCCTCTTGGCGGCTCAGCTCTTGTAAGATGTGGAATAGGGTTTCGGGTTTAGGGTTTGAGATGGTTTGAGGAAGTCTCCGAGCAACCGAACGTAACCGAACGTAGTGCCTCTAGGAGCCCCCAGACTTCAGAGTCTCCAGTGCTTTCGGAGACTCTGAAGCCTGGGGGGCGAGGGTGCATCGTCAGCTTTGGCGGACTCCAACCGTCCCCAACTGTTGGAGACCTTGCCATGCCGATCCTTGGACTCTTGTGTCTGGCCATGGGGTGGCTGCCGGACTGCCGTGGTGGTAATGTCCTGGTCTTGAACGTTGACCCGCAGGGTGCTGGAGCTTGTCCCGCATCGTGGCAGATCACCACAGGCACAGCTGGCAACCAGGTTTGCGTAAGATCTGCGTTCCCTTCTTCATCCACCGTGGTGGATACCTCGACAGCCATGAAACAAGCCGGCAACGTGAAGGGGCGGCGGATCTACGACAGAATCTTCGGGACCGCCAAGATCTACCAGAAAGGCTCCACAGATGCTTTCGAGACCGGAGTCCGAGATTCCAGCGGGATCGACTCCAGCGATTATGTCGATGGCATGTCGGTGACCATCGGTTCTCCTCGTCTTCACATCTTCACCTTGGCCCTGGGGACTTCTTACGACACTGCCCTGGGGACAGGTGGCATGTGCCCCTGCGATGCTGTAACGCAAAGTGCCCAATGTGGGGGGGACCCGGTCCCTGGCTTCCTGAGTGGAGAGGCCGTGAGTTGTGACTCCGGGACCTTCGGGACGGCGAGCTTGGCCTGGGGTAGCAGATTGGTGCAGACGGCTTTTGATGTGGCGGTCTCTGTGACGTCAGCGCACTTGGAGGTGAGGCTCATGAGTGATGCTGCCCGGGGCTCGGACTCTTCTGCTGCGAAAGTTCGCAGGACCCTCCGTGCCGAGCATAACATGAACCTGACCTGGCACCGAGGTGAGCACAAATGAAGACGTGGGGGTGTTGGAGCTGCTTGTCTATGTGGAGGAAATCGAGGACAACACGCCGCCGCAGTTGACTCTCCTGGGATCCTCGCCTCTGAAAGTGGAGGTGGAGTCCGTGTTTTCCGACCCTGGTGCGACGTGCGTCGATGACATCGATGGAGTGCTCAACTCCAACATCACAGTTCTGGGATATGTGAACACCAGCCAGCTGGGAGAGCAGGACCTTCTATACATCTGCGAGGATTCCTTCGAGAACAGTGTGAATCAGACTCGCCGCATCATCGTGCTGAATTCCGAGCTGCCGGTGCTTGAGCTTGTAGGGGAGACACGTGTCTGCCTGGAGGAGGGTGTCCCGTATGTGGAACAGGGTGCAACTTGTACCGATGCCGTAGATGGAACCTATCCGGCGACGATTGCAGGCAACGTCGACCCTGATGTGCTGGGAAACCAAAGCATCTTTTACTCCTGTAGCGACAGTGCCGGGAACAACGTCACGGTTGCAAGGACGATTACGGTTGTGTCCAGCGACATGCCCGGTAATCTGTTCCTCACCAGTTATTCTGCTGAGATCGGTGGGGTCACGGAGTCATTTGCACCCCAAGTGCTGGGCGAAGGCGTGAATCCGGCGACGGACTTTGCATTTAACTGGTCTGGCGACGTGGCTGCCGGTCCCGAGTTCTGTCGGTTCATCTCGGTCTATGAGTCCCTACCTAATGGAAGTCAAGTGCTCGTGAAGCAGTACGAGGGTTTCAGCCTTTTCAGCTTGGGCGTTCTGGCCCAGGGGCAGCTCCAACTGGCACAGGGTTCAGATGCATCCCTGAGTGCAGGGCTAAAGGATGCGACGTCCTACACCATAGTGTTAGATGAACTCTTGGTATTCGACCAGTCCGGATATGGCAATGCACGACAGTCCCTTCGAATCCTCACTGGTGATTACTCCCCACCCATCTTGCTAGAATCGCAGCCGCCCGCTATGCACCCAGCCTGGCCCTTGTCAGCCGGCATCAGCTTACGCTTTGACGAGCCCGTTCTCCTCGGAAATGCTTCTCTGCGAATCTTGGATCCTCGGCTCGGTCGTGAGGAAGAGGTGCCCTGCGATGGCTCTTCGTCGACAGGAGGCCTCTCAGTGAAAGTGCAGAACAGTAGCATGCAGATTCTTGGCTTGGACGCGATCTGGCAGCCCTGTGCGGAATTCCTCTTGACCGTTGATGCTGCCTGTGTCCTGGATGTATCACCCAACACAAACCCCTTTCCAAGACAGATCCTCCCTTTCGCGACATCCTGTGTCATCGGCGTCAGCCCGGCGCGGAACAGTCTAGAGGTCTCACCCAGGAGTCCCCTGACCATTACCTTCTCGGAGCCGATGGAGTGGACCTCCTCTAACGTCTCTGGAGTCTTGGTTCAGATCGTGAATGAGAGAGAGCTTCGAGTCGGCCCCGGGGATTGGCCGTATGTGTACATTTTGGAGGCCATTCTGACCGTGGACTTGGCATGCGTGACGAAGTATTGTGCCATTCACAGTGCGCTCCCGAACGTGACGGCGCGATTTTCCTCGGGACTTTGCAGCGGGCTCTTGTCTCAGCAGTGCAGGGGGAAGCTTCACCAGGCGGGTTCGCCAAAAATCCGAAAGTGCGAGAGGCCTCACAACAGTAGACATTTCTGAGATGTTCTTAGTTTTCTTCTCTCGCGCTCAGAGTCTTCATCCCTTCCTCGTCTCATGGGTCCTAGCAGGTGCTCCTCGAATCGGGGACCTTGGACCGGGCCAATGGATCCTGGCCCCTGGGCTCCGTCCTCAACGGCACGGTGCTTCCGGCGCAGCTCTTGGAGGCAGGTGGGGGGTTAACATGGGCACCAGAGAGAGAGTGATAACAGTCACATGGTGGTGCCATCGATGCCGGCCTGCAGTGATGGTGAAACCTACTTGGGTCTTCGACCTAGCTGGACGTGCCATTTCCGGGGCAGGTCTTAGATGTGGGGTCTGGTCGGAATCCGAACACTGGAGGACCCGTACTACTTTACCCTCGAGCCGATCGATGCGACTGCCCCGCAGCTGCTCGCTATGGATGTTGCCCTGGTTTCCGAGAGTCAGGTGCCACATCTCAAGAGAAAATATGGCCCTAGAATTAGTTCCCAGCAGGTGCCCTTAGAAGTTCCCGGGGCCTAAATTAAAGCACAGTCTACATCCATTCCTTATAACACGTTTTTGTTTCTAGCAAGGCAAGACAGGCCCGGACATAGATAGACGCATAGATAGATAGATAGATAGATAGATAGATAGATAGATAGATAGTCTGCTTCCAGCCCGCTCCAGCGACACAGCTGGGCAACCGGGCCTTTTTCCTGACTGATGCCCCTTCTTCTCGGAGAGTTATTGAAATCATTCATCGAGGTACATGGGGAAAAGTGTCGGTGCTGGCATGATAAGCTTGTAGCCGTTCTGAATTCTGGATTTCGCCGTGCCGCTTCGTGCTGGGCTTTGGACGGGGCCTTGTCAAAGGCTTCTTCACGGTTGAAACGTTGCTTTGGGTATCTTGGCCCGAGGGGGCTCGGGCCAAGCAATACCGGCTTACATTCTAAAACCTTCGCAGCTGCCACGCTGGTGCATAGAATAGTAGAAAAGAGCCTTTCCAGCGCCCAGGTGAACGTTTTGGTAAGCATCAACGAGGGCGGCCATGTCTACTGCGCGGCGTGGGAGCTGGCTGGGCCTGGGCCCTGCACTTCGGATGTCCTGCTTGTCACGGAGTACAGCAACGATGTCTGTAATCAGACGCAGACGGAATGCAGAAACTGCGAGGCGCCGAGCTTCGGATGCTTTGATAGGAGCAGCATGTGGGTGGATGATGGCTGCTCTGGGCGATTCCTCTTGGAGGGGATTGAACTGGATTGCCAAAGTTCGGAGAAGGACGCCACCATCCATGATGCTGCCTTCCAAAACGTGATATCCTTGGGGCATCGACATGCCTGTGCTCTCAGGAAGACAGACGGGTCAGCGGCTTGCTGGGGCAAATCAGATTACATTGACCCTGTGACATTTGCAGCTCCGGCAGGTACTTTCGTATCCATTGCTGCAGGCTATTTGCACACCTGTGCGATTCGAGAGGGCGGGGACATCCTTTGCTGGGGTACCGATGTGCACGGAGAAACTGCAGGTCCCGGAACCAGCGATTTGTTTGAATACATTACCAGTGGATACCGCTTCTCCTGCGCTCTTAAGGTTACTGACAGGAGAGCGGTGTGCTGGGGCCTAGATGATAGTGGACAGGCGACGCCTCCAGCTTTCCCATTCTTGACCATTTCAGCTGGCTACAAGCACGCCTGTGGAATTCGGTTGGTTGACAACGCAGTTGTGTGCTGGGGCCTGAATGACTTGGGTCAGGCGACTCCTCCGGCGGGGGAGTTCTTGGCTCTCAGCGATCGCGGTGAGACGATGTATCAGGGTAGCTTGAGTGCAGGATGGTTTCACACCTGTGCTGTGCAGATGGGGTCAGCCTCCATTCTGTGCTGGGGCGACAATAGCAATGGTCAAACCGATGCGCCAGAAGATGCAGCACAGTTTCTGCAAGTGGTCGCTGGTCGGGCTCATACGTGCGGACTCCAGCGGGTGCTCGCAGGCCAAGGGCCAGGCCACGCACTGGGCGTTAACAGAAGCTTTATCATATCCCGCTCTCCTGTCTCCCTTCCAACCTTCTGGGGCGGGCCGTTAGCTTTTCGGATTCTGTTTTGGGACGCCCCCTGCAAGGTGTTGTGAAGAACGGAACAGTGAGGTGCTGGGGATTAGATGATCTCAGCCAGAGCTCCCCACCAGTCTCGTTGCCAAAAATTGGCGGCATCGCCGCAGATGATGACTACACGTGCGGCCTCGCAATTGAAGATGGGCTGCCTTTCTGCTGGGGGAAGAATGATTTCAACCAAGCCGATCCCCCGGCAGAGCACCTCGGCCTACCGGACGAGTTTGAGAACGTCACCTGTGAGACTGACACGACGGCCAGCAGCAAGAGAATCAAAGGGCTTTCGGGAGTCCGGGATGCGAGTGACGACGTGCCGGCGTACTACAGCCCCACTCGGGGCTGTGCCGACGGCCACCTGTCCTTGACCGGCCTTCGCGAGGGCGTCAACTACGGGATCTACTGCACTGCCGAGGATGATGAAGTACCGATTCCCAACATCATGAGTGATCAAGTTGTTGCTGCAGCTGGTCGGGCCGTCACGATGCCAGACAGGACCCGGCTGCCTTTGACCGTTGTGCTGCCAAGAATTTTCAATGACTCTCTGCATTCTGCTTCCCCGTTGCTGCACAAATTCCACTTGATGCCTCTGCCCTCTGTTCCTCTTATGCCAAGCGCTAACTAAGAGCCTTTCCATGCTGTTCGCATATTGAGATGCCGCTGCGTATGGTTGCCAGGACCCCGCCGACGCTTAGCATTAGTCGGGTAGACGCAGGTGTCGCGAGCGCCGTGCTAGAGGCTGGGTGCATGTCAGGGCCCGAAAGTTCACAAGACTGGATAAAGCCTGGCCATCTCGGATGCCAAAAAGAATAGAACCCATGTCTTCTATCGGATCCATCCGCGATGCTTGGAAGACACCCCCAAAACAGATTCTCCCCCTTCCAGGTGCTGCTTAGCGAGCCAGGCCTCAGGGTTTGCTGCGTGGCGGTGCTGGACCAAGAACCTGTAGTTTCGGCGGCCGAGATTCTGAAGGCGGGGTGATAACAGGTTCCTGTTGGTTTTGCCCCGTGTCTTGACAATGTATTAAACAGGCCTGGCAAGTTAAGTTTGCTCTTCATGCTTCTGGAGGTGGGTACATTTGGGCATGCCAGTGCGAGCGGAACTGTGGCAACTGTTCGCTTGGAAGGGCTCTTGCCTGACACCGAATACGATGCCTATTGTGTCGGCGAAGACCTGGCAGGCAACTGGGGCACCGATCTCTCAATCCTGCAGAGCAAGCGCGACTTTCATGTTATGCGGGACCTTACACCCCCACAGCTTCTTTCTACCGATCCGATCTCGGGCAGTACGCTGTCATGCGCCCCGGATGGAGTCGCTGCTGGATGCTTAATACCTCCCCTGGTGCTCCGTTTCGACGAAGACATCTTCAGGGGCATAGGCAACATCACCGCTGTTTGTTTGAACAACCCAGGCATTTGTGTCGATGTGGTCATGCAAATGGAAGTGGAGTCATCGCAGACGGGAACATCTGCCATTGTGCACGAGGAAATCACTGTTAACTTTGCCGTGCCACTATCTGACGCCTCGAATTTCAAGGTCGTTATCGATTCCGGAGCTCTGCAGGACATGGCCGGAAATCCTGTCAGTCTCAGCGATACGTGCCAGTTCTGGGTTCCTGCAGGTGCAGAGGGGGCGCGCCCTGATACCTGTGCCGGGACTTTCACCTTCTGGACTCCTTCGTAAAGAGAACCTGCTGTCCAGCATCAGCTCGTGGTGGGCATCTCTTTGTCGGATGCTTTGCTGACCAACTTGCTCGTGGATTGAAGTCGTCGGAGGCCCAAGATGGAGAAAAGGCACGTCTTTGTCGGCCGTCCTCCTCAGCAGTGTCACTTCAGCGCTGAGCTCACCTGGACGAACGTGGGAGCCTTGCCTCCGTCGGCTGCACAGAGCAACTTCGGAAATTCGCGGCTGCAAGCCTGGCTTGGCACAAGGGAGGAAAAACGAGAGGAGTCTAATACAGAGTGTGAGGTCATGTAAGAGAGATGTGCAACCGAAGACGGCAGAGACAGTGAGAAGTGAGAGTTTGAAGACCACGAGTGGCTTGCTGCAGGTGTACTGGTCTGCGACGGGAGGAGGCGAGGATTCGGATGAGTAGACAAGGACTCGTGGCGGACCATTCGGGTGCAACAGCCCGTCCTAGCGAGGCCTTTGCAACACACCCCTGCGCTGTCGACGGCGAAGGCCTCGTTGGATTCTCACGCAGATCCAATTCAAAATTTTCTGGTCTCGAAGCGTTTGCGAACGTTAACACTTCATTGCGAGGTGCTGCTACTGCCAGCTCCAGCAGCAGATGGCAGGCACGGAAATGTGCAAAGTCGGAAAGGATGGAACTGGTCACTCGTACTTGGATGGCATTTGCCCGCAGGCCTTTCGCTGGGGCAGTTGGGTCGACGTGGACTCAGTGATGCAGAAGGCCTTGCGAGTACTGAAGCCACAAGTTTAGTGGAAGTCTTGCCAAACAGATGCTGGAGGGGATGTGTTCGTATTTTGACAGGCGCTTGTGCAGGCCGCCTGGGGCCCGAGCTTTGCGACACCAGTGAATTTCAGTTTGCTGGTTCTTTATGGCAACGCCTCGGCTCGGTGGTCACTGATCACCATCCACCGCCTACGGATTTCGCCGGACTACTTGGGGTCCTCATTGGCATGCGAGAATACCCGAAGCAACTAGGGCCAGCGGCTGCTGGAGTAAGGGAAGCAGAGATTTCCGATGGTCACAAACTTAGAACTCTCAGCATTTTGTCGTGGCTTCGCGTTGGAAACTGGGCCAGGTCACCTTTTTGCCGAGGCTACAGATAGCTACACGTGTTTCTGCACTGTTCCATGCCGCACATTTGACAGCCGAGTATACATCGAACTCTTGATCTCTCTGCTTCAGCCCAAGCTACCGAAACCGTGCCTGCATGGGCCGTGCTGATGCCCGCATCGTTATTAGTTGCCGCGGCGGGCTTGTACGTTATGTGGTACCCAAAACCCAAAACCCAAAACCCTAAACCTTAAACCCTAAACCCAAAACCCAAAACCCAAAGCCCCCTAAACCCTAAACGATCGAGCTAGCGGTTTCCAGACAGTCAGATGATCGTCGAACGAGTTCCCTGCGGTGCGACTTGGTCAGCTGGGGCGGGTGGGAAAAAAAAGGTCGTTATGGCGTCTCTTCGCCTCTTCCAAACCTCTGGCCCGACCCCGAGCCGCCCCTAAGGTCCGAAGGCTCTGAACCCAAGTGGCCCGAAATGAAGGGGTCCGTCGAAGCCCCAGCTCGGAGAGTGTGGGCTTCAGGCTGACCATGGCGACCCCAAGGCGGGGAAGAAAGCTGAGTTAAAAGAGGATCGGGTTCGTTCTGTTTTCCCTTTTTTCTTGGGGTCTAGGCTGAGTTCCAGTTTGGCATTCAGTAGTGGGCTTTCCGGGTTTGCAGCGTAAGGTTTCGGCCAAACGGTCACAGGATCCACGCAAAATCTTCCGGCCTGGGGTTCGGTGGGCCTAGCAAGGATCGACATGTCATGCTCAGAGGCTGTGCACCGCAGGCCCTCAGACTTGAACGCATCTTTCTGGATTGGCCTTTGTCTCGCAGCTTGGGGAACCTGAAACCATGAGAGGTCGCCTTCAGCAATGACAACGTGCCCTACATCGCTGACTTGGCACGCATGGTCCTGCTGAACGAGAAGACCGGGCGCAAGAGGCCATCAGAGTGAAGCCTCGCCTACCTTGCACTCGAATTAAGGGCGAGGTTTAGGGTTTAGTATGTTTTACAGTTAACACAATAAGGAACCATCAGGAGTAGTATGACTTACTGTATTTTAAGGCTTGTGCATTGATCAGGGGGTTTAGGGTGATCATTCCTGGCTTCAGATCTCTGCTAGAACCTAGGGTACCTAAGCCTCCCTACTAGATTGCCCCGGGCCACGAGATGCCGCGCTGAGCACTGTGTTGAAGTGGAAGACGACAATCTCCGAGAAGCTTTACAGCCAGCTTCGCGCACGCTTTGCCGTCAAGTTTCATCCCACAAGCCATTTCGTCGCGCTTTTGATGGTATGATCCCGGTAAGCAGCCTTATTCCCAATTTCGCGCATGTCCCTACCGGCCGAATGACTGGCCTTGCTTCAGTACTGAGCCGCTATGTCGGTACTGTGGTACGGCCAAAATTCAAGAGCGTTTGCGGGCAAGGAGTATGGTCATGACCTGTCTGGTTTACTGTTTGATTCATGACTCCGGCATTGCAAGTGCCCTCCATACCGGTGCCAAAAGAGATCTAAAAGTTTGGCTTCACGCGAGCCCCTCATAGATCCACCATTCCTACAAACAAGTCATTGCTGAACCTTTTGCGGTTTTCCGAAGATGAACGGTCAGAGCCTTGGGGCCCGTAAAATACGTCGGGGGCGGTTCATTTCGGAACCTTCCATACCAGCTCGTGCTAGCACAAGCAGCGCGTCAGAGGTGCGGTTGTTCGGAATTCGTTGCATTCGGGGCAACGTGTCAAGAGAGGGACTGGGTGAGAGGCTTGGGCTTGGAGTTATAAGTACGTGGTTGGAGCGGTACATACCATGTTCAGAATGTGCAGAACCACTTTTGTCCACCTAATGCGTGCAAATAATTCTGAATTCTGGCTATGATCTGGCTCATCACAAGTCTGACGAGTGGCCACTAACTGTGAGCTAGGCCTTAATCCCTCATCCGGCAGCGAATAGTTGCTGATTTGTCTGCTCTACTCAAGACCCAGAAGATCTCTTTAGGATGCCTGAGGGGCGCAGTAACAACTGCTGCAAACAGGGTTTCGTCACAGGCTTGCGTGATGCAGATTCCATAATCCTTGCATACTGAGCGATATCTACCATATGATGCCGAATCGCGGTGCTACTTTTCTCTCGACTGAGACCCTGCAATGCGGGCTTCGTCCTAGCGAGGTGGGAGGCAAAAACAAACCCCAAAGCCCCATAAGCCATATTAATAGGCACAACCAGAAGCAGCAGGATCTTGCGCTTTGATCCTGGCGACCAGGAGCCTACCGGGATTGTTGGTTCAGGGTTTAGGTTTGGGGTTCAGGGTTTAGAAAGGGTTTGGGGTTGGGGTTTAAGGTTAGGGTTTAGGGTTTGGGTTTGGGGGTTTGGGGTTAGGGTTCAGGGTTTGGGTTTGGGGTTTGGAGTTGGGGTTTGAGTTTGGGGCTTCGGCTTCAGCTCAGGGGTGTTGTTAGGGATGTGGAGTGCGAGGTTTATGGACTCACTTGATCCAAAACTTCGCCACGCGAGTCAAACCCCGAAATCTTTGAAGACTTTTCGCATTTAAGCAGGGTTGTCCCTGACTAAAGAAAAGAACAGAGACAGATCGGTCAAGGTTTCTTCAAGGGATTCCTATGAAAGTGCTAGGGCCTGCTAGGGTACTACATCGCAGGCCAACCAGGCCCCGAAGCTGCCCACCCTGGGCCAGACAGGCTGCAACCCAAGTATTGAAGTTGGAGCATGGTGATTTTGTGATCTGAGAGTCTGCTCACACTCGCGACCGTCCCGCAGGGCACCATGCTGGAAGGGAGGAGGAAACCCTCGACTTATATGTCTTATCGTTATTGTTACTATTGTCAGTTTTATCCATATTCTTATTATGGTTGTTATTGTCATTATTGTTGATCTTCTGCTTCTCATTATCATTATTATTTTATGGGTATTTATTTGCTGTGCTTATTATTATCTATTGTTATTTACTGTTGCTCCTACTCTTACTCTTACTATTACAATTATTCTAATTGTTTTCTTATTATATAATTGCAATCAATGTTGTTGTTATTGCCATTAGGTTTACATTGAGTTCGTTATCATTATCATCATGATTACCATTATTACTAGTATAGCTATTATTATTATTATTATTCTTATTATTACTACTACTACTATTATCATTACTACTATTGCTATGATTTTTAATACTACTGTTATAACTATCGTTTTAATAAATCTGCATTGTTCGCATTGTTATCATTATTGTGAAAATTATCATTGTTCTGATTTTTGCTCTTATTTTTCTCATTGTTCTAGCAATATCACAGTTGTTACTATGATTATGCTTACGATTATGATCAACATTTATGGGTATAATTTGGGATAGTAGTAGAATCAATATGTATAGACCTCTTCGCAAGGGGGCAAAGGAAATCACAGGCCGCTGTCTGAGAGTGGACGAAGCTAAGGGACAACATCCTGGCTTTCGGGTTCCAGATGCCAAGCCGCGAGCACAGCGAGCCTCTACTTTCCCACTAGACAGGTCTGTTTTTGGAATTCTTCCGTAGTTGCTGCGCAGACAACATGACACGCGCGGCAGGTCGGCACGGGCTTGTGTCATGAGGTCTTCGTGGAAGGAAGCGGGTGGAAAGCGATGTCCTCGCCCAAGGTACTGCAGGAATGTCCACCCTTAGCAGCTTGCTGGAGCCAGCAGTTTGCTTCACGCTCCTCCGATTTCCCTGCAAGGTCCATCGACAACGGTCGCGAGCTCAGTTGGCCATGCTTTCGGGGTTAGCAGAACTGAGACGTTCGGGGCCTACATGCCGAACACCTTCTGTGCTCAAAGGAGTTCAGTCCAAGTGATCTCATCGCAAGGTATGGAACCCGTCGAGACGGCTGGTGCACAAGCAAGCCATGACATCGCTGGAAGTTTTCTGGCGCCCCCCGCTGACCTCCTCATCCCAGTTCCGAAAAGAAGATCGGCACTTGGCTTTCGGTTTGGTTTCCCCTGACGCGCAAAATCCGGCTGCCCGCCCAATCGCTCAGATAGCGGGCTGGATCCTCTGCGAGGCTGTTCAAGAGTCCGTTACAGCTGGAAATTGCGGGCTCCGGTGCGAGACCGGGCCGCCCTCTTGCGATGCCTCTTTCAAAGATCTTCTGGCGGTTGAGAGCCAGGAGCCGGTGGTTTTTGAGGCTTTTGGGGAGGAGACGCGATGGACAGGGCTCTTGTCCGTCGAGGTAGGCTCGAAGCTTCGGCTGGCTGGACCCAGCAGCTTCCGGCTGACCTTCGGCAGAGCTCGCCAGGCGCTTCCAAGGGCAGTGCTGCGCAGCTCAGCATGTCCTCCAAGTCATGTTGACGGCCATGTCAAGGACTGGTTTGAGGTGCACTGCCGTCCAGGAAAGGTCGCCGTCACAGCGACGGTGGAGGTCCTGAGCCCTCCGAGGGGTCAGGTCAACGGAGTTTGGCAGCCACTCCGCTGGAGCCACTTCCAGCTGCCGGAGCTTTGGCCACTGGTCCGCGTCATGGGTGCTTGGGTGGACGGCGGGGCCAGCAGATGCGAAGCGCCAGCGCCCCTCCGCGTGCCTCCTGCGCATGTTCGCCAGTCACAACTTGGAGCTACACCGAACCCACCACATCTGGCCCTGCTAGTGGTGCTTGCAGCTCAGCCTGCAGAGAGCGGTGTGGGCTGCATGACACCCAACTGGTCCCTGGTAGCCGCTTTGGAGGAGGCGCTCTATCGCCGGCTCGGGCCTCGTTACGAACTCCATGTTGTGCAGATAGAGGCGGAGGAGGACCTGGAAAGCATTGTCGCCGAGGACGTCCTGCGCAGCCTTTCGCGTGCTGAGGTCAAAGGGATCGTTTATTTCTTAAGCCCGCAGCAAGTCAAAGGCGCTTTTCGGACAAAGAGTTATTTGATCCATGACGAGGCACTGTTTGCCTTGATGGAAAGGCTTGAGAGGGCCGGCCTTCCAACCGTGTGGCCACATCCGCTGCACCTGTTCAAGACACTTGCTGGCAAAGTGTGGCCTCCCCAAGTTTGCCTATCGCCGCAGTATCATGTGCCGCTCACTTCTTGTGTTCCTCGCTGTGCTGTGCTTGCAGACCCACAGCTGGCTGCAGACGAGGCCTTGAAGGCCCTGAAGGTCTTGAGGGAGGCATCTTCGCGGTCTCCAGAAATCTCGGGGACCGTGGTCAAGGTTGGATTCTCCTGGAAGTCCGAGGGAGTTACACTCTGCCGGAGCAGGGAAGACTTGAAGTGCGCCTTGCAAAGTGCAGCAGCTGCCGGCAGTCACAGCTACTTCATGGTGCAGGAGCGCATTGAAGGATTGTGCTGCGAGGCCATGGTTTACACACTCGGTGGCCAGATCGTGGGTGAGCCACAGTACTATTCCTTCCCGCATCACAAGGCCCCGCCGCAGTACATGATTCGAAAGACAGCTGCTCAGTTGTTGGGTGGAGATGCGGTCCAAAGAGACTGCGAGGATAAGATGAAGCAGATTACCCAGCGGTGGCTACTGTGGATTCGGGCACAGTGCTCCAGCCCCGTGCCTTTCCTAAGAGTCGACTTCTTGCTGGCGCTCGATTCGGTCTCGCGGGATGTACAGATATGGACAGGTGAGGTAAGTGAGCTCGGTGTTGCGGTGTCGTTTCAGGAAATAGACGATCACCAAAGCTGTGACATGGTGATGGATGCGGTGCTGTGTTCAGTTCTCAGCCAGAGAAATGCTGAGGCCGACACTCAAACTGCGAATCGTGCAGTGGATGGAGAGCAACCAGAAGCTTGCGAGACATCCATTCAGAATCATAGTTTGTGAAGACCCAGGTGCCACTCAGACGTCTCTTCAAGGACAGAGGATCTTTGATGTGGAGGCCGGCCTTGAACCTCTGAGTGCCTGGTTCGTGAGAGTGCTTTGCAGCAGGCGCATGGATGCCGCTACCGGCTGAATCTGGAGGCCCCATGGTAGATCGCAAGAGAAGCAGTTTCTGAAGCACCCATGTCCATCTTCAAGTGAGAGGCCTTCGAGTGCACGAACCTGACGTTGGGACGAACATCCTCTATGCGCCCATTGCAGGCCTGCTAGCTGATGTCAACATTGCTGTCTCGGGTTGAGATTCGTTTAGGGTTTAGGGTGCAACTGGCACTGGCTAATGCATCGTGGGATGCTACCGTTTTTCTGAGTGTCCAAGAATCCGGCATGGAAGCGGCAAGTGGAGGACGCAGGATAAGATTAGTGATTAATGGAGTCCCTTGATCAACTGCCGCAAAGTTTGTGGTTTACGTAAGGGTTCGGTTCTGATGACCCCACCCCCTACTTTTGACCCGTTCATGAATCCTCCAACAAGAAGCCGAAGCTCATGAAGGATGCCTTCACTTCTCCGCCTGCTGTGCACCTCCCGGTTTGAGCACCGTGTAGTGTGGGCTTTGGAGGGTTAGCGCTTCGGACTTATTGTTTCGGGTTTAGGGGAGGTTTTAGGGTTTTAGGGTAGTTGATCCAAGGTTTAATGTGGAATTGGGAAGCAGGCTTTGCCTCGCCGGACTTCATGTTTTCTTTTGCACCGCAGATCGGTGGTTCTGGAGAAAGCGTCCACGCATGTCTTTTCACTGAACCATGATGGGACCGGGGGGGGGTTACGTGAGACTCTTGCCCAAATTTTACGTAGGCTTGTGGATTGAGGTGTCTGGGCATCCTAAACCCTAAACCGTCTTGCGTGAAGCGATTTGTTGGCATCGCCTGTGTGCATGTTCGAGCAATCGGTCGCGGAGAGTGATGTGCACCAGTGTCAGTGGATGCTGTGCTTGTGGCTCGAGCCCCTGAGATATTTTGTAAAGCAAGCCGTGTAGCCGCGATGGCTGGCATAGCGACTGGGACGGCAACCTCGCCGAATGCTGTTGCATGGCATCTCAAATCTGAAAGCATGATCTGCACCAGTGTGCTGCGAGGTAATTTGCGTCAGTGGCGGCTTGTCTGAATGCAGCTGGAAGTCGTCTGTGTTCCGTTTGGGGTCTTGCGAACCCCATGTCCCCCTCCCTTGCAGCTAAGGGATCAGGCATGAGGATAAGGTGCGTTTGCGATTTTCCAAGGTGCAAGTAATGTTGGTTCTGGTGAGTCATACAGCGATGAACATGTAGGATGTTTTGTTTGAACGTCTTTCGGCACGAGGGCCAGGACGTCGACCACGACGACGACCAGTGCAGCACGAAGCATCACTAGAGTACTCCCGTACTGCAACGTACCACAGGTCTCTGTTATTTAGAATGAGCTAGAGAACATAGCTGTTTATGAGCCTTAGGACGTTAAACATCGATGTCTGGCCGCACGAATGGCTTGTCTACTGGACGGCCAAGGATGTGCAGACGCGTTCAAAGCCGAATAAAGCACGGCTATGCGCTGCATAACAGAACATGTGGTTGAACGGTGTTGCATGTTGCAGTTCGTTGCCACTGACTCTGTACTGCTGCGTGACCATTTGGATCTCTACATCATTGCCTCTAGATCATTGCACGACTCGCACGCCAGCACTTATACTCCTCCAGCACAGACAGTGTTAACACAGGTCCTAACCCTAAACCCTGCGGGTTGAAAGGAGAGCCTGAACTTGCAGTCCAAAACTCCGTAACCCTGAGCCCTGCCCATAAAGCTGAGACCAGACCCCGAGGTTGAGTTATCCTCAAACTCGAATATCCCAGCTGTGGAGAGCAGGCCTGCCCGGGGCCATGGGCCACGAAGTCTCGCAGGCCTGCCTTCGCCGAGGTTGGGACGGAGCTGTGAAAGCAACCATTCCTTCAAGACAGACCGGTTGCACCTGGCCATGATGCTAGGAACCTATACCTGATCCGGAGGCGAAACCTAGAGCCGACCTCTGGGGCTCTGGCCAACCGAAAAAGCGTCTCGAATTGAAGGGTGCTGGCACCTTCGACCTTTGAAGCCACACGCCCTCGATCTAGATGTTTCAAAACTGCGTCAAGCTCATCTCCGCCGCGCGAAAGTTGCTGGCCCTTCCCTTCCTGGCCCTCTCTCGTCTAGGAGAAGGGCTACTGTATGAGATTCAACGAAAGTGCTTAGCCGAGCCACCCTACATAGGTGGCAAGACAATGAGTAATGCCCAAACCACTAAGCCCCAAACCGCGAAACCTCCAAGCCACGGCAACCCCACGTTCCAAGAACCGTGCAGGTATGACCTTGGCTCCCGTGGGCCTTACGGGCCCCGGCATGCCAGACCAGTGCCAGGTCTTTGGGGTTTTCCAGGGTTTGGGATTTAGGTCCAGGATTTGGGTTGAGGATCTTTGGGTTCAGGGATCCGGGGTTGAAGGAGCTTCGGGTGGGTGTGGCGGGGTTTCAGCTTAAAGCTGTGCTGATTGCAGTTGCGCTTCTTGTTTTCTGTCTTAATTGAGTCGCTGCAGACCAGATGCAAAAGGGCTTTCACGATCTCGGCATTCGAGGCTCTGTAGTCGGAGGTCTTTTGGCACACAAGGGTTTGCGGTTGCTGCTTTGGCAAATTGCTTACCAAACCCTTTTGTGGGAACCTTTGCCGGAACCTTATAGGAATCGAAGCGAAACCCTCAAAGGAAGCCTAAGGAAGCACCTCAGCACGAGCTCAGCAGCGGTGTTTTGCAGGTCGTAGAAGGCGGCACCTACGCCGTCAAGCTGGTTGGCTCGGACCAACCCGCTGCGCAAAAGCAAGCTCTGGAGGACTTAGTGCCATGGTGGTTCAGTGACCCGGTCGAGGTCTGGGGTTGACGGCTTCGAAGAGGCTGCCGGGCTCCGTCTAGTTTCAGCCTGCTTGCAGAGATACTTGCTTTTTCTGGGACGCAGGAGCTGAAGGCGGCTCATGGCGACAAGCTGGTGATTATTGATTTCACCCACCCTAGCGCTGCAGCTGCCTCAGAGCGCTGGGTGATGCTTCTCTGACTCTGAACCCTCCTTGGCCTTGCCGAGCTGTGTTGTCGATCGGGACGTGAACGGAGCGCACGAGACCTTCTGTGCTGCGGAGGTCAATGCGAATGCCGAACTCTACAACGCGGCCACCTTGCCGCGATAGTCTTGTCGACTTGAGGAGCTGAGTTTTGCATTTTTTGCATTGTCGTTATTCGGTGACGCCCGTTCCTTGAGGCTGGCGTCAATTTTGTTTTCGGCACGACCGGTGGGGACCGTGACGCGTTGATGAAGGTCACCGAGCAGAGCGGGGTCTACGCTGTCATCGTGTCTCAGCTTGCTATTCGGCACCACAAGCCCTGAAGCCAAACTCAATTTGCCCCGGACCTTCAGGCGCCGAACATGGGAAAGCAGATTGTCGCTCTCCAGGCCACGATGGAGAGGACCGGAAAGCCCAACAGAGCCTGAGGGGGGGAAAGCCTACTCCCAACACCCTGAACCCCAAGCAGTAGCAGGTATCGTCCGAAAAATCCCAAGCCGACAGTTCCGATCAAGACTCCCGCGCATTCAGGATGGCAAAAGACTTCCCCGGAGCCTTTGCAGGCCATCCTGTTTCGGACCGGCCTTGTCATATTCTCACTGTCCATGTGGGCATGATCATCAGGTGATGCTGACTGGTATAGCTGTAGCCCCCCTCCAGTCTTTAGACGTACATCTCCTCCCAGTGGTTCGTAAAGTAAGTGAGATTATTCGTCAGGGGTTCGTGTACATGATGCAGACCACTGCCGTCGCTTCGGTGTTTTGTCAACGCTAAACTCTAAATATTTTTAGTTGCCCCGTGTCTTTGTTGATGCTCTCCAGACTGCTTGTCTATGTGTTAGTCAGACTTGAGTCGGAACCCTCTATTGGCAGGCAGACTTGTCTAAGCAGACGAGCAGTTGCGCCTTGAATCAACAGCGTCGATGCAGCATGCCAGCCCCAGTTTCGAAACTCCCAACACCCAAGCCCTGAGCCCGATTCCAATGTTAAAGCACAAGGTCCTAAATCCGAAAGTTTGGCAGTCCTGAGATGTCCTGAGTCCCGAGTCGGATCCTAAAACTCCGGGCATGGCCGGCATGGCTGGTGTGCTCTCGAAGCCGCGGACCTGTCGGGTCTGCTGTTGGCCGATAGCTTTTCTAGCACTTCTACCGCGACCCGCCTCTTTTGCGGCCTTGAGACCTCGAAGCTTTAGCAAGGAGGCCGCGCAGTTTCTGGGCCGTGTGGCACCGCGTTTAGACAACGAGCTCGGACACAAGGGCCAAGGTGGCCGTGTTGCCATCCTTGGGGGTTCCAAGGACTACACGGGAGCTCCGTACTATGCGGGCTTGGCTGCATTGCGGACCGGTGCCGAGCTTGTCTACGTCTACACGGCGGAGGAAGCGGCCCTGCCTATCAAATCCTACAGCCCAGAGCTGATGGTGACTCCCGTCTATAGCGGCACCCCACAAGCTGCAGATGTCGTGAGCGCAGTTTCGCCGAACCTGGAGCGGCTGCACTCCCTGGTGATCGGTTGCGGTCTGGGAAGGCATCCAGGCATCCTGAAAGCAGCCATGGCTCTCCTGCTTGATGCCCAAAAGCAGGGGTTGCCTGTTGTCGTGGACGCGGATGGACTGCAAGCTGTCGTCGAAAACCCAGAGGCTGTAGCCGGCGCGGATCGGGTAGTGCTGACGCCCAATGTGGCGGAGTTCAGGCGGCTGCTTTCGGCTGTCGGTGTGGACTCCGAGCCTTCAGCACCCTTGAAGGATCAGCTGCGTCGGCTGGTAGACAAGCTTCGCGGTCCAACCGTGCTGTTGAAGGGACCAACCGACCTGGTCGGCGTGCCAAACGAGGAAGTCCTCGAATTCAAGGAAAAGGGTTGCCCTCGCCGGAGTGGAGGTTTCGGGGACGTGCTGGCGGGCACTTTGGGCACCCTGGTGGCCTGGCTGCGTATCCGTCAAGGAGGCACCGGGCCTTTGGATCTTGGCCAGGCCGCTGGCGCTGCGTCCACCCTGGTCAGGCGAAGCTGCAACTTTGCGTTTCAGCGGCACTTTCGTGCGACAACGGCACCGAATGTGCTCGATGAGCTGGGCCCTGCTTTTCAATCGATTTCGCCGGCTGTCTAGTGCTTAGCTACTAGTGTAGTCGGGTTCAGCTAAAGTAGCAGATGAAGAGAGTATGGGCACGCTTTTGGGCTTACAAATTTGTATCACTGTATCATGATGAACCGAGGTTTGCTGTTCTGATGCTCTTTACATCCTAGTTCTGTAGGCCTTCAGGAGCAGAGAGCAGCCGCATGACTTCAGGCGGGTGGAAGCCCACAACCCTAGATGCCCTAGATTGGAGGCGTCGATGTGTGGGTGATGCAGGTCTCCGTGTTCTACTACGTGTTGTTACGTGTTCGGTTTGATGTTGGCAGTCATCACCTGCCTGTTCCTGTAGCAAGCGGTGGGACGTGCGTCGAAAGAAGCGTGCCTGCCTCAAGCGAGCGTGCGAGTCGAAGTCCTGAGTTCTGAACCCTAAAGTCGAAACACCACCCCTCCACAGAAAACAACTTTAAAGGCCCTAAAGCCTAAACCCCTCTATGTGCAGAGTGGTAGATTGGATGTGCCTGTATGGCAACAGGGATGCCTGCGCTAATGCTTTTGCCGGCTAACTGCGTCGGTTTGTGAGCCACTGAGCTCATCGCCCCGTGCCAGCAACCTCGCGAGCGTGAGTGCTGACACCCTCAAAAGCAAAAGCCAGAGTGTCCCTGAGACCTAATCCTTCCAGGCTACAAGCTGGAGGTCACCGAGTCCCATCAGAAGACAAAGGCTGATACCAGTGGCACCGCGAAAGCCATGGCAGCTCTGGCAGCAATGCTACCCTTACAAGGAGGATTGTGGTGATGGTGATGGTGCTGATATGTGATCATGGTGATTCCTTCTTATTTTTGTTGTTATTTACTTTTGCTGCAATTCTGAGTCGACTTTTATTTGGGGGTTCAGGCTATACAGTTGGTGTTTGGGAATCAGAGCCCTGTCGCATGATCCGGAGAGGTCTCTTCCTTTCAGGGGCTGGGCGTGGATCCGTTCACCCACGAACAGGCCCGGGAGCAGTGGTGAAGTTTTGCTGAGTCTGAGCCTCACGGCCTCTGCTTGCATCGGCACCCTGAGATCACCCAGCTTCGGGACGATGCCTCGCAGAGAGCATTCGGAGTGCCAGAGGCCGCGCCACCCATGCGTATCCGGCATGAGAGACAACACCACAGCTGCAAATTTCGCCAGGAGTTCTCCAATGGCCACGCCTTCCATACGTATACGCTCACAAGCAGCGATGGATCTGTCCAGTGGCCAGCCTCAATTCGTTTCAGCATGAGTTCCCACTCGCCGGAATGTGGTAGGTGGACACGCAGAGTCTGAGCTTCGCATCGAAGCTGAGGTTTCAGTTTAAGCACAACGTATGCGGCCGCCGCACGTATGGCGAAGGGGTTGCCGATGCCGTCCAGTTCATCGCAAGCCAAGCAGCCGCGAAAGCCCCAAAGAAGGCACTTTGGTGGAGTGTCCAGTGGCTGGTCGGTTGTTTCGGGTTTGGCCTTCCTTGCCGCTGTGCGAGCTACGATTGGGGTCTGTGCAGATATTCGGACATCGGCAAATTCCATGAGAGGTGTACAACATGATCGACATCCTGGAGGCTGCTCGTGGCAGAGCAGGGGCACTAAGGGTACGAGAACTTGTGTCAGACTATGTGCTTGTGCATGTCACGCCGCCGCAGGCTGGGCAGATGAAATGAGGCAGTGCCAAGCTCTTGCTTGGAGCCCGAAGCCCTAAGAAAAAAACAGCGCTAAACCCTGCAAACCTCCAAGGCCCTGAAGAGCCCCACGGGGCCTCCAAGCCATCTTCTAAGACTAAACCCTGGGAGCTGACCGAGCCCGGCTTGGTCCAAAGTTCCACGGAGTTTTCCCGTAATGTAGGAACCTGTTTCAGAACCCCTGACACTTTGTTAGGGTTCTTTTTTTTATATGGATCCAAATATTTTGGCGTTAGATGGCCAGGGTTTCTTAATCAGGTTCCTACAGTAGGTCGTAGGTTGGCATCCGGACATGACGCCACGCCTGTCCTGCCCCGCACCAAGATCAAAAAATGCCCGGGTGAGTTTGGCGTCCTTGTCTGGCAGATGCGCAGATATCTCCGAAATACGGACTAAGTCCTTGAGCTGCAAGGTGCAGCTCTCGAGCTACTTCTCCATGCTGGCAGGCTCCGAGAAGGCTCAGCGACTGTTTTCAGGACTGCTCTATTCCCTTGCACCCTTCGCCTATTTTGTGGCTCGGATTTGGGGGTCCTTGATGTCCCTGCCTTGATCACCTGTAACATGAATGCTTTGCCAGCTCCCACCCGACCACAAAGAATCAGGGACTTTGATGCATCCCAAAACCCCTTCGACTCAAAGCGCGAGGCAGAGGAAAGCCGAAGCATTCCAGTCGGATCTGAGTTGGATGTGGGTTTCTCCAGAGCTCCCAGGGACCTCCACCTTTTGAATGATGGGAGCCTTGAGGCCAGGGCCGGCCAAAGCCACCCCCAAGAATCTCGAAACCCAACCGCGCCAGGCTGTGCCGAGTTGTGAGTGCTTCCCAAACCCTGAAATTTCATCATAGCCCCCACCCGCAAAACCTAACTTCTAAAATCGAATCAAGAGGACCCAAAGCGTGTGGAGTCACCGAAAGGGTTCTCGGCATGCTGCCTCCTGGCAGGCCGAGCTCCTCGCAGAGGAGGCGCTTTAAGAGGGGATTCTTAAAAGGGCTTAGGGCTAGGACATGTAGAGTCTAGGATGCAGGGGTTGTAGAGTTCAGGGTGTAGAATTTAAGATTTAGCGTTCTGAGGTTTTGGAGGTTTCGTCTGTTTGGGTTTAGTCTTGAGGAGTTGACAGAAGGAAGCTGCAACAGCGATGGGCTTTTGTGTAAGAGGAAAGGGCAAGATCGCGGCGAGACGCTGCAGATCTGGCGGTCGTGTCACGATTGCCACGGCAGTTTCTGTGTTAGGGGAAGCTGTTCAGCTGATGGATTTGTCTTGTGCTTTAGTTTCGGCATTTGGGGGGGCCGCAGGATGCAACATTGGCTTGTCAATAATCGCCTTTCCGGCTCGAGCAAGCGTTAGCTGACGACATGTCCTCCTTGTCGAGGTTCGACCGGCTGTATGCATTTGCATCACTCGATCTTTGAGTCCAGCTTTGCCTGGTCGCTGAGGTTACGCCTCAACATGGCCGTGCCTACGTTGCTGTTCTCGCTTCAGCTCCTTGTAGGTGCGGTCAATTTCGAGTCCTCTGTCAAATCAGATGGCCTTTTGGTTGCAGTGAAGGGCATCTCTGCCGTGGCAGTCCAAGAAAAAACGTAAAGCAGCATTATAGTTCTAATATATAGTGCCTTCGTCAATAAGAGCTCTTCTTATTTATGAAGAAGGCCTGCAGACTTGCAGGATGGCTGCGTCTGCAGATGTTTCACGTGCAGAATGACCCTTGCGCCGCTCGCAAGGTTCCATAAGCCGAGCTGCGCATATGAAGCGGCAGCATCACATCCATCGCCCGCATGTGAAGCAGCTCGAATGCATGCAGTGATGCCCTTGCAAGCTCCAGCCTGAGATTTGAGACTGCCTTGTGCCGAGGTACCACGGGTTGCCATTGTCCTGGGGGGGTTCGCATGCTGCTGTGCCGAGTCTTGGATGTTCTGGAGCAGTTTTCGGTTCCTGACGAGCCCATGCCTGCAGCAATCGCCGCTATAGTCCACACTTTTCTGCTTTGCTAGGCGACACACTTGAAGGATGGCCGGCAGAGAGACACGGAGAACCAAGGAGCATCCTGGCCGAAATCGATGATGCAAGTGGCGATGAACAGGAACGGAGTGCCATCGCCTTAGCTGTCGTTTTATTTCGGGTCTTGCCTGCGTTGAATCCAAGAAAATAGGGTATTCAGGGGGCTTGCATCAACGCACCTGTTTCAGGGCTTGGGGACAAGGCTTGATGTCTGTTTTGGGGTTGAAGGTGAGGGACTGAACGAGTAGAGTCCGACCACGTTCATGCCAGGACGACGTGAACAAGAGTGCCCCGGCAACCACCACATTGCCGCCTCTCCGGCAGGATGGCAAGTTTCCTGGCAGGAGTCCGGGGGGAGGGGGGGGGGGTTTGGGATTTTCCCAGCTTTTGGGTACCTTGTTTACTGGTCTTGGTATTGAAGATCCTATCACTTAGGCTCCATAAGGCCCCAAGGTTTTGTGGGGGGGTTTGGGATTTTCCCAGCTTTTGGGTACCTTGTTTACTGGTCTTGGTATTGAAGATCCTATCACTTAGGCTCCATAAGGCCCCAAGGTTTTGTTATGTTTCAGAGATGAACTTCCATTGTTACTGGAATTGAAATTATTATGGTTATGTTTATTAGTACATTGTAATTGTTATTATCATTACCATTGTTCTTATTAGAAGCAATAAGACCTAAGCAATAAGACCATGGCAGTAATAGTAATAAACGAAATAACAACAGCAATAGCGATAATAATAACAGTTGACAGTACTAGTGGTAATGATAATCGGGACAACAACAACATTCACCAAGTCCATTGCTTCAAAAAACAGCGGCAGTAGCAATACCATGAACAACAAGTGGCATTAGTGCTATGAATACTGTAGTAATACAGCCGCAGAACTAGCATTAATATCAGCTCAGTAGGGTAATGATGAGAATAATGGAGAAAGAAAGAGGGAACGAGAAAGACTAGCACACCGAATAAGCACATTTTGCTGCTTTGTAATGTTTCTATTCTGAGTGATGATAATTATTACTGTATTGTGTTACTGGTATCATTACATTATTTTTAAAGTGTAATTACTATTGCTACTGCCTGCACTTTAGACTTCAGACTGCAAAACTGTTTGACTCAGGTTTCCGGTCGTCAACGAGTGGGCCTGTGCCCTCATGTGTGCAGGCCATGCCAAAGATGGTTGTTGTTCGTACAAGGACAATGCCCAAAGGGTTGGAGATGAGAACGACGGTGACAACAGCGAAGAGGATTCAGGCCTCTGCGAGTTTCAGGCAGGCTTTGCCAATATCGACGTGAAGGAGGGAGATGATTGGGCGTCTGCGGAATGCATTGCAGGGTATGAGACGGGCAAATGCGCCGAGTGGAGGAGGGGCAGATGCAACGGTCCCGCCAAGAAAGAAGCAGCTTCGCTCGGGCTACCGATTTGGGAGTTGGTCTGGGAAGACAACTTCGACCACCTGACCTGCGTGCCAGACCGTACCGGCATCTTGCGGCCGAATCCACACTACTGGACACCTGAAGTCGGGTACAAGCGCGGCAAGGAGCTGTCATGGTACCAGCCCGAAAATGCAGAATGCAAGGATGGCAGGCTCGTCATCACAGCTAAGAGAGAGCAGACAAAGCCAGAAGCAAAGTGCCAACTCACCAACTACAACCCAAGTGCATCGGATCCCGAGCTGAGCGATGCTTCTTGCAATGTCTGTGGGCCGCCACACTTCGAATACGGAGACCCCTGCGACCTGCTCCAAAACGATGCTTCAGGCACGCCAGTATGTGATTGCTCAGGCTCCGCTGAGTACACATCTGCTTCCCTCCTGACCCGGGGGAAGTTGGAGATCTCCTATGGCATGGTGGAGATGCGCGCCAAGATCGACACCAGACAAGGGGCATGGTCGTCTCTATGGTCTGTGGGCGACTTCGATGGGGTGGCCTGGCCCAAGAATGGTCAAATTGATCTCATGGACGCTCCTGGATGGCACTTTGGGATACCTTTTAATGCCTCCTGTGGTCTCAAAACGGTACCTCTTCGTGAGATTTAGAGAGAACGGTTTAGGACTGAGGGGCCCAGAAAGAACAGCACAGGCATTCCAGGGCATGGTCAAGGCCAGCGTGATCCATGCTGGGGAGTCGGGCCTTCCTAGCGAGGCCATTCAGCATGCAGCAGCCGTTATGACCACCCCAGAATGGGAGGAGGTGGGGGTGTCTGAAACTTCAAACCACCTTTATTCCGGGTCCCTTCTATATTAGGATCCGGCGATAAAGCCTTGGAAGTGCCCAGGTGTATCACACCTTCACCATGGAGTGGGACAAGGAGTTTGTGTCTCTGAGCGTCGACCGCAAGGAGATCATGAGGTTGGATCTCGCCGTGGCTGATCCCGAACGCACCACTTGGCCCAACCCTTTCACCAGTGAAGACAAGAAGTTCTTCCTCATCCTCAACCTTGCAGTTGGTGGCAGCTCGGGCGGTGACCCGTCCGAGTCAGACTTCCCAGTGAAGCTCGAGGTCGACTACATCAAGTATTTCCAGAAGAAGAGCCGGACAGACCGGTAGCCACAGCCAAGGAGCAAGGGACCGCCATTCGACTGGGACCGCAGAAGATCGAAAATAAGCTGCACTTGAGAATAGCAGCCCTTGTTGCCCTTGTCTCCGGTCTGGCACATCTCCTTACGAAGAGCAGCCTGCCGCCATGTCGAGAGAATCCTCGACCTCTAAACCCCATCGACTCTGCAAGTCCCAGTGTTGAGAGCGTAAACCCAAGCCAAGAACCCTTTTAAAGTTCCCAGAAAGTGTGAAGAGGCTGCAACTTCCCAGTGGCTGGCTGTGGCGTTGACGACGACCACGGAGACAGAAGAGGCTGATTGCCTAACATCATCCACCGCTATATCTGCCACCGCATACTATCATTGTAATTTGTCGGAATCTACGATACTGGACGATATCATACCATACTATGCCAAATGTGCTTCAACTTGGCTTATTGGGGCTCCGATATGTGCACCTCGAGTTTTTGCTTGCATCATGTGTGTGTGTGTGAGAGAGAGTGTTGCGACACCTGCTCACGCCCTCTCACACCCTAGACCCTAGGCGCCAAACCCCCCACTGATCATCAATTTGGTAAGGTTTGAATTGACCCTGTCGCAGTTTGGGCAAGGTCTTCCCGACACCCAGGACGTAGCATGGGCACTTTGATGGCTGATATCTAATATCAATTGCAGTTGTCTGCAGTTGTCGCCCCACTCATTTCCCGGCATCCTGAATAGTGTGAGCCGCGTGTGCCCGCTGGACCCAACGGCCAGGTGCAGTAGCACATCAGCACAGTAGTAGTACAGCAAAAGTACCGTACAAGCACAGTAATAGAGACAACTGTTGTACAATAGCCGTACGTTGCGATTACAGTAGTGCAGTAATGCAGCAAGACAGTTGTACACTAGTCGTGCATTAGTGCCGATTTCAGAAAGGAAGCAGCAAAACCAGCTTCTGCCGAATCCGGAACAGGTTTCAGAGGGTCACCCCAAAAATGCCGAAGCCGTTGCGCATTTAAGCAAGGGTCTAATCCAAGACCGTGCGACATGAAATGATTCGTGGAGAGGCCCGAAGTCCTGGAATCGACTGCCTATGCTTTCGGGGTTCATCGGGGCTTGGATAAGGGGCGGACAGGGGAGAGAAGCAAGGCCCCGTAGGTTCGTCCTAGCCAGGCGGGAGGCAACAAAAAACCCTCTTCTTGTAGGGCCTTGCAGTCCCCACCATTACCTGTGACACCCAAGAGAGAAGTCGCAGGGTCGGGACCTGATCTTGGCCGGGGCCGGTCAGCTCTTCTCCAGCCTAGCGGTTGCCAGGCTGTGAAACAGAGAGAGACAGAGACGGGGATCAAGAATTGGAAGAGGGCTCCTCTCGAGGATTCCGAAGTTAAAAGAGGTCTATACTGTAGGGGTTCTACACTAAAGGTTTGATTAAAGGTTTTATGTTGTTGTTTTCGGAAGGATTGCCAGTACTGTTTGTTAGGTTCCTGAATACAGATACAGTTGTACGATAACAGTATCTTCTAATTGTTAAGAGGGGTTTCTGAAAGGGCCACGAAATAAGGAAGGGAGCCCTGGTGGGTTGCCTGGGGCGAGAAGGTCATTTCTGTGGGGGCTTGGGGTTGTTTAGGGCGGGTGTCGTGCTTTGGAGCCTGGGGCCTGGGGGGGATTGGTCTCAGCCCTCTGAACCCTTAGTTTAAGCGCGAAGCCCCAAACCGTCAAGAAGTTGCCCTAAACCCGAAGCTCAAAACCCGAAACTTCAACAACACAGAAAAGTTGCACGGGCGTTTCGTATGTTTTGCAGGCCGGGCCTCGTCACACGGGAAGAGTGGATGCACTTCTGGCTGATGCGGGAAAGTGCTCCCAGCGGGGGCCTCGCGCCGTTTGTTGTGCATGAGGTGTTTGGGTTTCCAGTTTCATTGGTGGTTCTGCCGGCGGGGTTGGTTAGGATGGGAAGGGGGCGACGGACTTGTGGTGTGCCTTTGCACGTCTTCGGGCGGTTCAGAATTCCTTGTTTTTTTCTCAAAATTCTACGATCTCAAAAATGTGCTGGGGTGCTGATTGTGGACTGTTCGGTGGTGACGGATTGTGGTGAGGTTTTAGGCTCGCAGGCTGGCGTCTGCTGCTGATCACGGTGCTGGTGATGGCGGATGGTGCAATTTTGCAGCAGCAGTTTTCCCATGTTGTGTACTGTTGTGCATTCGTAGACGTTGCTCCCCCGCAAACAGAAACTGACCCATCCAGTCTCAGCTTACATTTTGAGTTGTTTGACATTTTTTGACTTCTAGGCACCCAGGACTGGTTGATCGTTTTGCGTACCGTGCCTCTCAGTGTGCGCTGGGAGGCCACTACGCGCTGGCCATCCTTCAGGCATCCTCTGTGTGCCTGAAGAGTGCGAATGGAGCAGATGGGCAGTGCCCCGTTAGCAGCAACTGTGTTGTAGATCTGTTGTGCAATGCAACCCGTGTTGTGGTTGAAGCGCTCTTCGCTGCTCCCCAAGTCCTCATCGTAGAGCTGTGATTTCGAACCCGTACAGTAAGCATGCCTACCCCGCCGGCCGAAGAATTATCTTGCAAAAAGGCAACGTGTTTTCAGCAGCTAAACCACATGCGGAGTCTGAGTTGCAAGAGTCCAAAGTCCAAACCACATGCACCACGAACATCGTCTGGCTTTGCCGAGAGTGAGTGAGTCCTAGACGCCAGGGCCGGCTTGCCAAGCTAGCCAGGAGGTGTCCGGAGGCACAGGCATGCGGGGGCCAGGAAAACGGGTGGTGCACTGTTTCTATAGTCACTACCGCTACAGCTGCTGCTGCTGCTGCTGCTGCTGCCAGGGCGACGACGACGAACAAAAACACCTATAACAACAACTGCTGCTGCTGCTGCTGCTGCTGCTGCCTGCTGCTACTACAGCTTCTGCTGCTGCTAGTGCTCCTGCTGCTGCTGCCTCCTGCTCCTGCTGCTCCTGCTGCTGCTGCTGCTGCTGCTGCTGCTGCTGCTGCTACTGCTGCTACTGCTGTGCCTCCTATTTCTGCTACGACGACGACGACTACTGCTGCTAGTGCGAGTGCGAGTGCCAGTGCGAGCGCTAGCGCTGGTGCTAGTGCTGCAAGTGCCAGTGCCAAAGTGCCAGTGCAAGTGCGCCAGTGCAAGTGCGCCAGTGCCGGTGCCAGTGCCAGTGCCAGGGCGAGTGCTAGTGCTAGCTAGCTTGCTAGTAATAGTGCCAGAGCGAGTGCTAGTGCTAGTGCTAGCTAGTGCAAGTGCTAGTGCTGCAACTGCCTGTGCTAGTGCTAGTGCTGGTGCTGGTGCTTGTGCTAGCTCCAATGCTAGTGCTACTGCCCTTGGTGCAATCTCCAACAGCCGAAACCATAAAGCCCCAACCACGAATTAATTGATGTCGCTGATTCGTATTGGTCCTATTTTACTTGCTGCAACGGTGCCCGAAGCATTTTGCCTCCAAGACGTGGTGTGCACTGTGCAGAAACCGCTTCCCAAAAGGAGTGGGCGTCTCTCACCTTGTAGCCGTGATGACTGCAGAGGTTCAATCAATGCAGGAGGCAAACAAATCACCCTAAACCGTGAAGGTGGTGGGCACCGTGCTGAACCTATTCCGGGAAGCTGATTCTGACACCGACGGGGAGCTCGCTTGGATTTGATAGGAGGTTTCTGAAATCAAGGGGCATCTTGCTTAGCTTAGGGGTGCCGATTCTTTTTTCAATGGTTTCATAGGAACTTTGGGTACTTTGTCAGGGGAGCTTCAGTGCAATGATTCTGCTGTTCAGGGTCAAACTTTGGCTCCTTTCATGTTCTGAAACTCGCCGGATATGATCCACCTGACTCCTCGCACGTTCCAGGAGATTTCCCAGGCGAAGATGTCTCAGTGTTGTTCGAAGTTCAGCCAGAAGAGCTGCTGCCCCAGCAACAGATGCTCTCACCGGAATGGCCCGTCGGGTTCGGGGTCTGCGCTGGCACGGAGCAGCTGCCATGTAGGGCACCTTGAGGGCTCATTTGTCCGGCAAGGACAGATTCACTCAGAGTCGCAACCCTCAACCCCTTACAGTAACCCTTCCACACCGCAAAGCTTGGAAAACCTGGGCAAATTCCTTTCTGTAGATGTTGTGGCTGCCTTGCTACACCGCGACGACGATGACGAGGACGAGGGCGACGCAAAGAACATCTCTTGCCGTTGCGTCTTCTGATGCTTCCTTCCGGTTCGCACGAGTCGTCGAACCCTTATCCCTGAACCCTCAAACCTTGCAGCAATCCCAAGCCCTAATCCCTAGCCGCTTCCGTTCGTCGAACCGTCCCCCGCAGGTTCCTGCAGCAAGTTGACCCGTGCCAGCTTGTGCAAGTGTGCGTGTTCGAGACACCCTTTTCCCAAAGCCCAAACTCCGAAGCCCCTAACTACCCTAAACCCTAAATCCCTAAACCCTAAACCCTAAACCCCCAGGCCTTAAACCCTAGTCAACTACAACAAGCTTCAGCCCCAAAGGCTGGGAGGCCCTGGGCTTGCCGGGAGCCGCGGCCTGGCGGGGGGTCTCAGGGTGTGAAGGGCTTTCTGTGGGGAGCCTCGAGGGGGGGCTTGAGGGGGTTTGGGAGTTATAGGCTTCGGGCCAGGAGTCAGGCTCAAAGTCTTTAGGACTTCCGGTGGGCTCTAGGCCTTCAGCCGTTCAAGGCACGAGTAGGTTTGCAGCCTGGCCAAAGTGCTGGCATTCCAAAATCCGGGTGAGGTGCTGTTTCGGCCTGCGGGTTTGCATCTGCGCGTGTCCACGGAACATGGTCAGTGCCGCTAGCTGCTGGTATTGAATTGCAAACATTCCGCAGCAAGCTACTCACCTGCCTGAGCCAAGCACCAAGTCGTGGGGGTCTTTGCCGAATCGCCGAATCGCTCAAAGCTGCACAAACCCATCCTATCTCTTGCGCTCGTGGTCCTCCCTGCATCCTCGCGACGACTTGGTCACGGTTGTCCCACTCGCGAAGCCAGGTTGAGATCGGCACCAAAGCGACCCGAGGTGGCCAAGCACAACCCTTGGCTGATTCGATCCGCAGTCTGCGTTTGAACAGGCGGCTACGTTGAACTACTTCGAGTTCGTCAGCGAGCTGGTCGGACGTCAGCGGCATGACGTGCAGCTCCCAGCGAAATCAGACACTGGTCGTGTTGTGTCGGTCAACCATTCGTACATCTTGGAACATGTGATGCTTCACCAGAGTGTGCTATTGGAGGCACAGCAGGACAGTGTACTACAGCCTGCTATTGGGGTAATAGCACAAGTATATACATATTATGTGACAGCAAATCTCATTGAACATCAGATCTCTCAAGGTGTGGCTGTACCAGTACAGCATCCCAGCAGGGCTGGCTGCCGAAGTCGAACCGGCGCAGGAGCCGGGCGAGGGAGGAGCCAACTCCAGCTGTCTTATAGCCAAATGGGTAGTTCTCTAAAGTAGGGTCTTCTTAAGTAAGGGTCCTTTTTACAAGGGTGCCGTACTATATTGGGGACCCAAAAAGGGACCTTAGTTTAGAGAACTACCCAAATACCAATACTCTTTGGAGGAAGACTGTTGTTTGGTGTTTAGGGTTCAGAGTTTGGGGTTCAGGGCTAAGGTTCAGGGAATATACCTTCAAACAGAAATGGAGGACCTATGTAAATGAAATTGAATATTTCTGAATTAAGGGGCAGTGGATTCTCTAGCTGTTGAGTCTTGCTTCGGACTTCATAGTATAGTATGTTCTGTGATGCTACAGTAGAGTACCGTGGTATATTATTTTTTGATGTTAGACATGAGCACCTTCACGGTATACTTCATGAGCTTTTCTTGTCATGTATTGTATTATGTCACATGCGAATGCTGTTCAGGAACATGCCTTCCAGGGTCAGCATCCGGCGAACGGTCGAGGAACAAATTTCTGGCTTCTGGAGTTTTCATTATATTGACAAGCGCGAACGAACGGTGCTTAAAGCAAGCATCTTCAATTTGCAGCAGAACCTATGCGCACAGGCCGCGCTGCTCAAGTCTCTAGGTGGCTTTTGGCCCGCATCTCAGAGCATCGCTTGAGGCTCCGCTTTCGCTGGGTACCTAAACCCTGCACCCGCACCCTGAACGGCCCTTAAGCCTGTGCCCTGCTGCAATGCGGGCTTTGTCCTGGGAAAGAACACTGGACCCCACACCCTCAACTCCGAACTTGCCTGCTTGTGCGAGTGTGAGAATCGAAACGCGAGGCTGGAGCTTGTCCAAACCTGAGCCCTAAACCCTCCACGGTTTACTTTCTCGCTGGGATTGCCCGAACGCCCGAGAAAGCCCAGGCACACGTCCATCGTCGTCTTCGGCCGGGAGTACTGGTCCGCCGGACCTGGCTTGGAATGCTCTGAGGGCTGGGGGTTCACTTTCCGGGAAGATCAGTTTTTTTTTGATGTGTGAGATCGTGCCCTCTTCCTTCCCGTCTAGCGCCAGTCAGGCTAGTCAGTAGTAACTCAGCAGTACTAGCTTGCTACTATGCGTCGTGGGCTGTTGCATGTTTTCTGCAGGACCAGGTGACAAAGGGCTTAGGGGTTGGGGGGATTCGGGGGTTGGGGGGGTTGGGGGGGTTGGGAAACAAACACCTGGCTGTACGGGGTCTGTCATGGGTTGTTTCTGGGGTGCTACAAGGCATCCTAGGTGAGGAAAGAAGGGGTTTCTGGCCCAGAGCAAGAGCCAGCAGTCGAACTGCGACGGCTTCCGGTGATATTTCATCTTCTGTACCGAACTCTCGGCCCGTGCAGAGCTGCACTCACTTGCCAGGTATGGGAGGCAGTGCTTCGAAAGCAAGCTTCAACTTAGCCACTTCGGAGAGCCGACAAAGAGAACCTACCTCGGAGCAGGGGCCTTGTACTCTTGGGCTTTCTTTGTGGAGTCCCACACGATCCTGCCTTGTGCGGTGGTGTTGGGGCTTCGTGCCACTGGGCAACCTGTGGTGGAGTATCGACACGTGTCCGGTTTTGGCTTGCAGTGCTGCAGAAGGACAACATGTCTTTTGCTTGCTCAACTAAAATCTTCTGCAAGCCTCACCATGCTTTCAGTAGCTGTTGCCGCCCGGTGGCGGCGGCCAAGTCTCAGCTGAACCACCATCGACCACCCAACTTGGATCCAAAGAAGCCTTCGTAAAATGTCAGCCTACCTCCACCGCAGCGACCGCATGCGCCGAGTGGTGGTGCAGATTCTGGCAGGGCTGGGATTGATCACGCTGCACCTTGGCTTGCAGAAGCCTCTACAGGTCTTAGGAAGATGCCAGATAAACGTTGGGCAGCATGCCCTCGGGAACCTCGCTTCTGCTGGTTATGAGTGGGTTTTCCTCAATTGGATGTCGGGCCTGCTCCAGTGTTACCACCCCAAACCAGGTTAAACCACGGCAAAATGTTCGAACCTGGGGGTGTCCCTTCAGCCCTCGTTGCTTGCAGGCTCCTGGTGGTACCCGGATCGGCTCTGACCCATTACAGTTATCGCGAGCCATGCTCTGCGGGCGACAGCGACTCCCAAGCCCTTTTCGACTACATGACCCCTGCCGAAGTTGGAAAGCTGAGTTCGGGGCACTTCGAGCGAAAGTTTGGGGAGTTTGTGCGGTTCGGGGAGGTGCTTTCAGTGCTTTGGGCATGTATTTGCCGTGCTTGTGGAGAGGTGCATACAGGTAAAGCGGCCATGAGAGCAATGCAAATCGAGACGAGTCTGTTAAGGCAAGCACATGGTACGCTGTTTCGCCTTCTGTCCATGTGCAAGGGGCTCGTTGCGAGGGCCCTGAAGACAGAAAGTAGCTTTGGCACAGACGCCTCGAAGGGTAGCCCTTCATGGATGAGGTCCTTCTATGCATGCTCCGAGCTTTTGCCGAGTCCTGTGAAGGCGGGTCGATGAGGCAGTTAGTGTTTTTAAGTTGTGTATCTTGCTTGCAAGCCTGCAGCAAAAAGGTTGAGTATGATAAACGCTGTGATAAGTTATCCTATTCCATCGGGCTTGACCGGAAACTTTGCGATGCGAAATCAGACAACTCCGAAGACCTTGCGCAGTGTGTCTTGCAGGCGGCTCTTCTGCTCCTCTGGCTTTTCCTGCTCATCAGCCTGCTGGTGGGGTGCCGAGCTTGCTGCCCCACGATGCGAACTAGAGAACACTGGTGTCACTAGTGATGGCTATCAAATCTTCGTAGATCACGAGCACATGACATGTTACGCCACCTGGTGTTAAGATTGTAAGAAGAAGTCCCAAAGCCTGGTGGTGCTTCCTCGAACTCTTCAGCAGAGCCTTCCTGAAGCCACGAAGGACAAGGTTGTAAACTTGGGGTACAATATGCACATGATAGATAGATAAGGGTAGATAGATAGATAGGTTCTAGAGAGAGAGAGAGAGAGAGAGAGAGAGAGAGAGAGAGAGAGAGAGAGAGAGAGAGAGAGTGTGATAGATATCTATATAGAAATACACATAGATACGT